CTGGCGCTCCTGGCGTCCCGCCTCCCCCCCCGCTCCCTGGCGCCCCGCCTCCCCCTCCGCTCCCTGGCGCTCCTGGCCTCCCGCCTCCTCCTCCACTCCCTGGTGCTCCTGGTATTCCACCACCTCCACCAGGGATGGGTGTCCCTCCTCCACCTCCTGGGCTTGGGGGATGGGGAGCCCCTGGAGTTCCAATTCTTCCATATGGAATGACTCCTAAAAAGGCTTATAAACCAGAGGTACAGCTGCGAAGACCTAACTGGTCCAAGGTAAGACCTTTCTCTCATCCAGAGCCTGCTGCCCATTGTATTCTTTTCCAAGGCATCCCATCTCAACTTCCAACTTCAATTGCCTTATCTCTCCTTCCATTTTCCCCCAGTCTTTGAAGGGTCTAGTTTCATTGCCCTGCTTCTGCAGGGTGTGGAGAGTGAAACACCTTTGGAACTGAAGTGTCCAGTGCCTGAGGGTCACAAGAAGCTCTCAGTAGCTCAGGCTTCCCCTGTAGTGTGTTGCTGTCCCCACACAGTTGTGGAGATACAGAGAAGCAAACTCTTTCCTAGTTGGCCTGTAGCCATTGGTTATTGGAGTCTTTTGTGTTTAATTTCACTGGTATTATTTATTTAATATTTTTATGCCCTCTACCTTGTAGGAAGCATTTTGAAGGCAGCATTGTGGGAATACCAATTTAATAATCGCAACCTTTCTGAAATACACAAGTAGCAGATAATTATGCTGCTCTAGAAAGCATAGGCTGTTTTACCATTCACATTTCATTTCCCCCCTGCTCTTTTTTTAAACTAGGACATTGCTAACAAGTGTGTATGTGAACAGAATAGCTGCCCTAAAACTGTGTGACAATCAGCCAGCAATAGACTTAGCATGGTCATGCTGGAACAAGAGAGCTTTTAGTAGATTCAGAGGCGGGCATCATTTTCTTGTGCATGCTTCCTTGGTTTAGTAGCACAGAGATGTTGCATTTAATGGGTTAATGTTCTGGCCCTCCACCTTTGAAAGTGTGGAGCCCCAGCTGTGGACCTCTTCTGAACAGACAAGGCCAACTGTCCTGAATTATAGTTTTATAGTTTCATAGTTGGTAGGGTTGGAAGGGACCTGAGCAGATCATCAAGTCCGACCCCCTGCCATGGCAGGAAAAAGTACTGGGGTCAAACGACCCCAGCAAGGTGTTTGTCTAACCTTCTCTTAAAGACCCCCAGGGTAGGAGCCAGCACCACTTTGCTTGGAAGGTGGTTCCAGATCCTAGCCACCCTGACTGTGAAGTAGCACCTTCTGATGTCTGGTTTAAATCTACCTTCTGTCAGCTTGTGACCGTTATTCTAGTCACTCCTGGTAGTGCTCGGGGGAACAGGGACTCCCCCAATGCCTGCTGGTCCCCTCTGACTAGTTTGTAACAGGCCACTAGATCCCTCCTCAGCCTTCTCTTGTGGAGGCTGAACAGGTTCAGGTCCCTTAGCTTCTCCTCATAGGGCCTGCTTTGCTGCCTCCAATCATGCGAGTGGCCCTCCTCTGGACCCTCTCAATGCTGTCCACATCCCTCCTGAAGTGCGGCGCCCAGAACTGGATGCAGTACTTCAACTGTGGCCTGACCAGTGTCGTGTAGAGGGGGAGAATCACCTCCTTGGACCTGCTTGAGACGCATCTGTGGATGCATGACAAAGTACGGTTGGCCTTCCTGACCGCGTCCCCACGCTGTTGCCCATGTTCATTTTGGCATCAATAATGACTCCAAGATCCTTTTCTGCCTCTGCACTGACAAGAAGGGAGTTCCCCAGCTTGTAGGTATGCTGCTGGTTCTTCCTCCCCAGGTGCAGTACCTTGCACTTGTCAGTGTTGAAACCCATCCTGTTCTCATCCGCCCACCCCTGTAACCTGTCTAAGTCCAATTGCAGCCTATTCCTCCCTTCTAGCGTGCCCGCTTCCCCCCACATCTTAGTGTTGTCTGCGAATTTGAACAGGGTGCTTTTTACCCCCTCGTCCAAGTCGCTGATGATGTTGAACAGTGCAGGACCGAGGCCTGAGGAACCCCACTGCCCACATCCCTCCAGGTTGAATAAGACCCATCCACCACCACTCTCTGGGTGCAGCCCTCCAGCCAGTTAGTGACCCAATTGACTGTAGGTGTCGATGCCACAGTCCCCTAGTTTTTTAATGAGAATGGGGTGAGCGACAGTGTCGAAGGCCTTCCTAAAGTCCAGAAATACTACGTCCACTGCTACCCCTGCGTCTAAGGATTTTGTGACCTTGTCGTAGAAAGCCACCAGGTTGGTCTGACAGGACCTGCCTCTAATGAACCCAGGTTGGTTGCCCCTAAGTATAATCTCCCCTGCTGGCCCCTTGCGGACATGCACCAGGATAATTCTCTCAAAAAGCTTATCCAGGATCAAGGTAAGACTAACTGGCCTATAGTTCCCTGTGTCGTCCTTCCTCCCCTTTTTGAAAATGGGAACCACATTGGCCCTTTTCCAGTCATTTGGCACCACACCAGAGCTCCACGAGTGCTCGTAAAGCTGTGCCAGGGGTCCTGCAATGACCTCTGCTAATTCCCTCAGCACTCTCGGGTGGAGATCATTAGGACCAGCTAATTTAAATACATCCAGTTCCTCCAGAAGTTCTCTGACTAGATCCTTACTGACCTTAGGCCTGGGTGCGCCTCCCCCAGGTCCTGAGGGGGTCCCGGCAGAAGGGCTGATCTGGTCCCTGCTCAGGAAAATGGAGGCAAAGAAGTCGTTAAATAGGTTAGCCTTGTCGACAACCAGATTTCCTAGCGTGTCTTGCAGAGGCCCCACGTTACCCGGTACCTTCTTTTTGCCCCCTATGTATTTAAAAAAGGACTTCTTGTCCTTGATCCAGGTAGCTGGTCCCAGTTCTATCTCCACCTTGGCCTTCCTGCCCGCCCCCCCTGCAGCCCCGAGCAACTGAGGTATAGTCCTCCCTGGTGATAGCCCCTCCCTTCCATTGGGTGTACGCCTCCCTTTTAGCTAGGAGACGTTCCCAGATGCTTTTGGTGAGCCATGGGGGCTTTTGCGCCCTCTTGCCCCCTTTGATCCTTGTTGGGATTACCTCCCTTTGGGCAGGTTCAGATCCTCCTCCATCCAAACTTTAGTTGAGTTTGACAGTATCAGTTATCTCTACATCACAGAACCTTATCTCTACATCACATCACAGATCTCTACATCATAGTTCAGGAGAGTTGGCCTTGTCTGTTTTTCAGTTTTTATTAATTATCATCTCCACATTCCCAGACTGCCACCTGCACTTCATCCTGACTGTTATCTCTGTTTACTCCAAATATCGTATCAGTCTGTCTAATACCTGCTGCAATTATCCAGCTATCAATCACACACCCAAAACACACACATTTCCTTATTGCTTCTTTTTTTACAAAATGGAAGTACGTTTTAAAATAGCAGCTTAGCATAAGTATACCATAGTACAGGCATAATATATTCTAACAGGTGATTTGACAGAACTGTTTTTGGATGGGAATGTCCTGAGGGGAGGGGACAGCAAACTAGGTGGAGAATTTTTGCATCAGTCTGATTAACAGTAAAGTCAATCAAATGTGGAACCTGTGTTCCTTATTCACAATGCAGAAATGTTGGGGTCTTTTTCAGCTTTATACTCTGCAGTACTAGGCTTAAAAGAACAGTCAGACGTACTGGTAGAAACAGGTTTTCTGACAGTGGTGGGTGTTGGGTGTAATTGTCATAAGAACTGCTTGTGTTTTCAGGGTGCTCACATGGTTCCAGGTGCTGTCCCACATAAGGTGACAGTCTGACCGTAAGGGCTTACAGTACAAGAAACCAAGCAACCTAAAATGAGCATGGGAAAGTGGCTAACATATTACATTAGTATGTCCTGTATGCTATCTCTACGTGCCTCTCGGCATAACAATATTTAACTTCATGTAAAAATACTAGAAGTGAAACAGTCTCTTCAGTTACATTTTGTACAGGTTGGAGAGGTGTAATATAGGAGCCAAAGAAAAGGAAATTTCAGTCACCAAGATGGGAGATGATGGTGTTTGGGAGATAAGTTATTAGCTGCATTATCAGAAAAGAACTTTTGGATCTTCAAAGCTTATGGAGAAGTACAGGGCAAAAAATGGACAATGCAGTTTGAGTGGGAGAGGAATGAAAGATGATCCCAAAATTATGGTTCTCAGTGACAGGAGTGTGGTGGCAGTAAGAGCAGGACTAGTGAGGGCTTTGGAGGAAAAGCAAGGAGTTGAGATTTAGCTATGATTGTTTTCAGTTTGGTGCAGCTTGAGGTGGGAGAAGAGGTTGGTTAGAAAAGGTGGGATGGACAGATTTGTTTTTGAGTCACTGGTTTAAAGGTACTTGTTGGAGCCGTGTAAGTAGACAAAGTCTCTGAGAGACTCTGTAAAAGGAGAACAGGAGGGGTCAAAAAGATAATCCGGTGGGATACTTGTTCCTCCTTGTTCTCTCTTGGTCAGTGTAGTTCTCTCTGTATGAGCACTCTGGGTTTTCTGTGTGCTGCCACAGCCAGTGTGTTCTCTTGGGGACCTTAGTGTTATACAAAGACAGACCACTGCTTGGTCTGGTGGCAAAGGCTCAACAAGATTTATTATCTACACAGCACCTACTCACACACACACCTGTCCAGAGGGTTGCAAGATGTAAACCCTTGATGCTGTTGGTTAGACACAAGGACAACTCACAAATAGGATCCCCTAGGCCTAATACTCATTCCAAAGACTTCCAGTACTTCTCTTATGCACCAAGCCAAACAGTTCTGTTTACATCACTCATTTACATAGCATATGGAAACATCAATTTCTTCACCAAATTACCCTAATCCTCAGACCTGCTGTCATTATCAGGTGTGTTCTAGACTATGGCACCACATTTATCAATCAACTTTAAAAATTAATTTTAACATTGTTGTCTGTTGAACCTACTCTCACAGGGCAGTGTGAGGTCAGCCTTTGGTGAAGCCTACTTTGGTCTATACTTTAGCAAAGCCTTTATATGAATTGTATATGCATTAATCATTGCTTATATTAATCAATACTCCAGTGACGCCTACAAGAGGTATAAGGCTATTTTTTATTTATTAAATTTACTGTATTTACTTAAACCAAAAATGACTCTGAATTTAAGGTGACCCCCCAATAATTAGGTTGTATACATGGGAAATTTATACATTTATTATAATTTCCCATGTCTAGTATCTGAATTATTGGCCAGTTGTCTTAAATTCATCCCCCTACTGCTGCAGCAGGGGAAGGCAATGGGGGAACAGGCAGTAGCCCCCTGCTGCTTGCACACCCCAACATCTACCCCCTACCTGTCTCCTCCCACCTATCCTCATTGCCTCTGCCCCCTCTTTCTTCTGCTTACCTTCTGGCTCCAGTAGTGCTCCATCCCTGCTCCAGTCCCAGTCTGGTTACAGCAGCAGCTCCAGTGACACCCCACATCTGGAGCCCAGGCCAGACCTGCTGCTGCCACTGTTAATAAGTTGGGCTGGGGTAAGAACAGTTGCATGCTCCCTGACCCAGGATGGAGCAGAGACAACCCTGCCAGAGCCAGAGGGTAAGCAGTGGTGGGTTGGTGGAGGATGGGCAGAAGTTGAGTCTCTGACCCTGATCCAAAGCCAGAGTTGGAATTTCAGAATCTGCGCCCC